ATGACAGGATTTTAATTGTCGGAGATTTTAATATACACGTTTGTTGTCCGTCTAAGCCCATGGCCAGAGACTTTTTGGACTTGATTGAAGCTTTTAATTTGACACAGTATGTTACTGTCCCCACACAGGTTCACGGTCATATTTTAGACCTTGTACTGTCTTATGGTTTTACTGTTGACAAACTTGTTGTTGGTAATGCTGTGTTTTCTGATCACAGTCCTGTTATGTTCAGTTTAAGTCTGTACCCTGACGTAAAGCCACCTGCTGTGCGTCATGGGCGTGTTATTAAGTCTGACACTGCAGCCGCCTTTTCTCCTCTGTTCACTGTGTCACCGCAAAGTTTTTCCCACTCTGTTGTATCCCCAGACACTGAACAATTAATGTGCTCTTTTATGTCCACATGCTCTAGGATCCCGGACAGTATAGCGCCGGTTAGAGCTATTTGTCCAAAACAAAAACAGGAGCCTTGGCTCAATGACACCACGCAGGTGGAATAAGGATCACTTGGAGGTTTCTTACCAAATTCTTATAGAAAAGTGCCGGGACTACCAAAGTGTGGTTAAAGCTGAGAAAACAAATTATCTTTCAGACTTGATTACAAATAGCATCAGTAAGCCACGTACTCTTTTTAAAACTATTAGTTCTGTTTTTAATCCGAATCCAGCCACTTCACTGGAGATAACTAATGAAACGTGTGAACGATTTGTCTCCTTTTTTAATGACAAGGTTGCTTCTATTCGAGCCAATCTAACTCCTTCATCATTGAGTTTTAACATGGCTACTCGATGTTCTGCCGTTTTTAGTCAGTTTGTGTCAGTGTCCATGTCTGTGTTGACTGAGATGGTGAGCAAACTCAAACCTTCGTCCTGTCCCACGGACCCAGTCCCTCCTCGCTTTTTTAAAGAGGTTTGGGGCACTATTGGCTCTTCTGTGAGGGACATCATCAACAGCAGCTTGCTAACTGGCAATGTGCCTTCCTTTTGTAAAAGCGCTGTTGTTGAGCCTTTGATAAAAAAAGCAGGTCTTGATCCCATGGTTTTATCAAATTATCGCCCCATTTCAAAACTACCCTTTGTTTCAAAAATATTGGAGAAATGTGTTTTGGCACAACTGCAACCTTTTTTAAATGAAAACAGCACGTTAGACCCATTTCAGTCTGGATATAAAGCTTTGCACAGTACTGAATCTGCACTTTTAAAGGTTTTTAATGATTTGCTTTTATTGACTGATTCTGGAGGCTCCACCATTTTAGTGCTTTTAGATCTTACTGCTGCTTTTGACACTGTTGACCACACAATTCTCTTAGACCGCCTGAGAGATTGTGTGGGCGTCAGGGGGACTGCTTTGGAGTGGTTCAGGTCCTACCTGTCGGAGAAGTCTTTCTCAGTCAGGCTGGGGGATGCCACATCTTCTTCTGCCTCCCTTTATTGTGGTGTCCCTCAAGGATCTATCTTGGGACCTATCCTTTTTGCACTCTATCTCCTCCCACTTGGGGAGATTTTTAACAGACACGGAGTGTCCTATCACTTTTATGCAGATGACTGCCAAATTTATATGCCAATTTCGAGAGGCCATGCCCCCCTGACGCCCCTGCTCAACTGTCTATGTGACGTCAAGGCTTGGTTAGCCCAGAATTTTTTAGTAATGAATGAGGGAAAAACGGAAATTTTAACATTTGGACCGGCCCTTACTGACTTGGGACCACTAGGAAATTATGTGCGTTCCAAAGTCACCAGCCTTGGCGTGACTATAGACAGTGATTTTAAATTTGACAAACAAGTAAATGGCGTTTTAAAATCGTGTTTTTATCATCTTCGGCTTTTATCAAAAGTGAAGCCATTCTTATCTTTTAACTTGTTAGAACAGGTTGTGCATGCTTTTATTTCCAGTCGTCTGGACTACTGCAACGCACTTTATGCTGGTGTCAATCAGAAAACCCTCTCCCGGTTGCAGTTGGTCCAGAACGCAGCAGCACGACTTTTAACGGGGGCCAGAAAGCGCGAACACATCACCCCTGTACTCGCGTCTTTGCACTGGCTCCCTGTTCATTTTAGAATTTATTTTAAAATTTTACTGTTTGTTTTTAAATCTTTGCATGGACAGGCCCCTGATTACATCTCGGACCTCATCCAAATTTACACTCCTGCGCGCGCCCTGAGGTCCGAGAGCCAGCTCCAGCTCGTGGTCCCTAACGCGAGACTTAAAACCCGGGGGGACAGAGCCTTTTCTGTGGTTGGCCCTAAGCTCTGGAACGCTCTTCCCCTCCATGTCGGACGGCCCCCACAGTAGAGTGTTTTAAGTCTCGTCTTAAGACCCACTTTTACTCTTTGGCTTTTAACACTGTGTGAGTTGTGTGGTCCTCTGTGTTTTTATTTTTCTATTTATGGTTTTAATCTGTTTTATAAATTTTTATTCTTTTATACTTGGTGAAGCTAAGGATAAGTTGTTATTTATTTTATACTTTTTTGTGCAGCACTTTGGAAACGTAACTGTTGTTTAAATGTGCTATATAAATAAAGTGGATTGGATTGGATTGGATAATAAGTAACGTATGTGAGTGAGTGTGTAGGACTATATGCTGTAGGTGTATAATTCAAGAAATGAAGATACATTACTAGCTTTTATACTCGTAGCAATATGTAAGATTTTCATGTCAAGTCATCAAGCCCTAATCTGTTCAAAGGCATTAATCAAACATTCTTTTCCAAACTTCTTTAGCTGATAGCAGTAGTTCACAGATATTTGAATTTCAAAATTAGTTTTCCAGCCCCTAAATTTGGTTATTGTTTTCATTTCGATGTCCCACACTCCACCATTTTACCAATCAGAAAGTCCGTGATCCGGGTTTCCAGATATCACTGTGTTGAGTTAATCTCACGTGTAAAGTAACATGTCAGGCTGCAGAACAAAAAAAAATCTTGTTTTTATTCTCAAATCATTAATGACAAAACCAGGAATAAAACGAGGATTTCTATCAGGGCTGACTTTGTGAAATAGGAGTTGGTTATAGTTTTGTTGACAAAACAAAATATCTGGCATCCTGAATCAGAGAGAGTGCTGCACCACATTTGGCCAGATTTTTACAAATTGCTCCTTTAAAAGAACCTGAGAGCTGGTACATCTGGAGATGCCCCAGATTTTAAACAATGTCAGACTGGACTTGAGCTGACCTCATCACTACTGAGTTTTAGACTTCATCAAAAACTTTGATGCATTGGAACATCCATTTATCCTTGTTATCGTCTACATACATTTTAGTATGGCCTGTACTTTTGTAGTTCCTTAAAACAGTTGTGTGCTGGAGGTATCTTCTCAGATTAAACGAACAGCAGGGCAGGGCTGTCCTCAGTTTGTCTGGAGAGAAGTTCTGTTGCTGATCCACAAATGACCATAAGCGATTAAAACTGTGAAGGTTTCAAATTAGGCCACACAACCCAATGGCCTGACGATCTAACATGCTGGATTCAAAAAGGTTGTCTCAGACAGGGCCTCAGCCGAAAACGTTACACATGTGATCTCTAAATAAGACACTTTGAAGCAACACGGCTGCGTGGATTTGTATCTTTTTCCATGTTCTTAAAACTGTGACATCACATTGGAGGACTACCCTTCTTGGATGAAACATTCATAGTTTCACAGTTTCAGGGGTATCCTAACAGGTTGTTACCTTGGGTGGGATTTGTAAACATCTTCAAAGTGGAAGGTGCCTTTATTTATCACCATTGTTGTTAAGGAGTCAGAGATAAAAGCAGATGTGCACATTTTCATTTATTTTTTTATTGAAATGGAATTTGAAAACAATAAATGTACAATAAGCACATAAGCCCCGTTTCCACCAGCGCCGTTTTATACTGAATTTACCTGGATACTGGTTAGTTTTGGGTGCGTTGCTAGGCAGAACTGGTGGAAACAGGGTGATAAACACACACAGAACTCATATCGACTCTCAGAGGTCCAGATGTGCCACAATGTCCACAGTACTTTCTCCAGACTTCTTCTCTCATGTTTGAATGAGATCTACAACTATTGTACAGTGTCTATTTGGTTGCCACTGTCATTGAACATAAACCGAACATATTTTACAAACACGAGTAATTATGTTACACCATGGCTTATATTTTTAACAATACTTTTGATACTACACTGATATAAATACTAATTTGTAGACTATGTGTGGAGGTAGCTGATTAGCTCCTGGTGATGTCACAGTCCATTATTAACATTATTATCATAACACTGATTCAGAAAGTGACATCACATTCAAACAGCTTGATTCAACAGATTATTTCTAAGCAGGAAATCCAGAAAACGTGATTACCAGAACATATGAGCACAGGGACCTGCTCTAGAGCCTCAATCTGGAGCACCGGGGCAGGCATGCATCTTATAGCCAATCAGACAAGAGCACGCATCCATCAGCCAACCAAATGAAATCACCCACAGCACCCACAGGTACAAGGACTCATCAACCCAAAATGTGCAGTAGGGCATTTCTCCAGTCCGGGCGAGAGCAGTGACACGGCTATCAGTCAAAAATACATAAACATAAACAATACATAAAGAACATCCTCACAGCACAAGAACAAGAGCACAGGGACAGCCACTTCTAATACCGGGACACTTTGCTGCCCAACAGAGCTGCTTGACGGAGCTGCCCAGTTCTGGACCACAGTGTGATATGGCAGAGGATGCAATACAATATATGTTTTGATATTTTCATAAAAAAAAAATTAAATATTTGTTCTAACTCAAATGCTTTTTTGGGTTAAAGGTTTAACATTCTTAAAATTATTACTATTACTATATCATCGTTATGAAATAAAAATGTGTCACAAATATATAATTTGTACAAAATGTCCAGAGTGAGACCTCTTTATGGCGAGGGTTGCTCTGTACAGATTTCTGACCAACGACAAAGCGGCACTTTAGGGTAAAACGATTTTTGAGTATCATACTTATTTATCTGATATATTGTGCAGCTCTGATGCCGAGGGACAGCATCAGCACAGCCTCCTTTTCTTCCCTCGGGCCAACCCTTTGCCTGCTGCTCCAGCCTTTCTTTGGCCCTGGTCCCCTCCTGTTCTGGCTCCTGTTCTAGCTCCTGTTTTGGCTCCTGTTTTGGCTCCTGTTTTGGCTCCTGTTCTGGCGGCCGTTCTGGTGGCCGTTTTGGCGGCTGTTTTGGCTCCTGTTCTGCCAGCCGTTTTGGCGGCCGTTTTGGCTCCTCTGTAGACTTTGGCCGGATCACATTGCAGGTTATGGGCCCCCTTCTTGTGGCAGACAGTGTGCACCAGTTTGAGGTTGTTGCGGGTGAAGAGCAGCTCGTAGAAGTACTGGTGGCTGATGCTGGAGCTCTGCTGCTGCTCGTGGCACTGCACCAGAGTGGGTATGATGCTGCGCTTCTTCTCCATCCTGAAAGAATAAGATAAAACCTTTTGTGTCTTGCATTTGACCAATCCTGCAATCCTACTGACGAGGGCAGGGGCCGGCAACAAGTGCCTCTCAAAAGTATTAATGCAGCCGGAACGTTTGCAATTTTAGTAATGTTTACGACCATAAAGCAATAGCAATTTTACTTGTGATTTTTTACCGAAAGTTCACACACAAGTAACTGAAGTGAAAGGAAAACTATAGATCAGGGGTCACCAACCTTTTTGAAACCAAGAGCTACTTCTCCGGTACTGATTAATGCGAAGGGCTACCAGTTTGTTACACAATTACATAAATTGCCAGAAAAAGCCAATTTGCTCAATTTACTTTTAACTCTGTTCATATTAATAATTAATGATATTTATCTTTGTGGAAACACTGATCATCTTAACGATTTCTCACAATAAATATATATAGAAACAGATAAATATCAATATGCAACATTTTTCAAATTGAACATTTTCAAACGATCACTTCTTGTGAAATCACAATATCCCATTTTAACCAACTAGCCACTAACATTTTTTAACAAATCATGAATAACTTTGCACCATGTTTATACAAATAATACCTCATGTAAAATACAAAAGTCAACTCTCGTCACACGTGATGGTGATCTCACAGGAGTTTAGAAACCAAAGCAGTCCCATTTACGCTGCTACTTTCTCCTCTTCTGAACAAAAACAACAGTGAAGCTGTTTGAGATCATTACAATGTGTTTCTACTGTAGGTTTATGTGACAGTTCTAAACTCATCGTTTCAACTCATTTAACTCTGATGTTGTGAATAAAGACACAGTTCTTGTTGGAAACATAGTTATTATTAAAGTGTATTCAGCACAAACAGATAATCAATAAGTGGTAAATATCTGAGAAAAACACGAACTATAAGTGCAGTAGGAATGCAACAGACGCGATAAGCTACAACGCAAACAAGACAGGAACAGTGCAAAAGAAACAACTGCACAGTTTATAAGTTATATCAGGCTCTGCCATGAGACCAAACTACTTTTCCTTCGGTTCCTTCGAAGCACAAAGCGGTCTGCTCCGAAGTGCCTCGTCCGTGCTCCCTGCAGCCGCTCCATGCTTCCGTCCAAAACACACACACGAACCAATCACAGCGGAGCTCCTCTCACACACGGACCAATCACAGCGGAGCTTGTCTGCGGCGTTGGCCGCGTAGTATTCGAGGGTGCGTGGCAGGCTACGTAAGGGCCTTGATGTGGGTAAGGGCCTTGCGCAAGTGACGTCACGTCACCTCCGTAAGCTCCGCGCAGCGCACTAGGCTTGAGTGCTACTATTTGAGCTATTTTTAGAACAGGCCAGCGGGCGACTCATCTGGTCCTTACGGGCGACCTGGTGCCCGCGGGCACCGCGTTGGTGACCCCTGCTATAGATGATTCTGTTATTTTTTTGGACCGTCGAGTCGGGTCGGGTCAGGTGAGTCGGGGGCCCCAGTGGTCTGGATAGAGGTGTGGGGACTGACCTGTGGTCCAGGTTCCAGGTGCTAAACATGACTCGGCTCTCTCTGCTGCTGTACGGGTTTATGGAGTGGAGTGAGGGGCACAGGGCTTCATCAAACGCTCCCTAAAAACACACCAGTACTTGTCTGTAGATAAGTGTATATAGTGAGTAGTACAGTAAGAGCACACAAAATATACAATATAAGTAGCTGCGATGTTTCTTTGCTAGCTGGAAATGTTCCAATATCAATGCATCAACACTCACCGGCCACTTTATTAGGTATACCTATCCAACTTCACTTTAATGCAAATTCCTAATCAGCCAATCACATGGCAGCAACTCAATGCATTTAGGCTGTAGACATGGTCAAGACGATCTGCTGCAGTTCAAACCAAGCATCAGAATGAGGAAGAAAGGAGATTAATGTGACTTTGAACGTGGCATGGTTGTTGGTCGTTCTGATCTACTGAGATTTTCACTCACAACCACCTCTAGGGTTTACAGAGAATGGTCCGAAAAAGAGAAAATATTCAGTGAGCGGGAGTTTGGTGGGGGAAAATGCCTTTTTGATGCCAGAGGTCAGAGGTGAATAACCAGACTGGTTTGAGATGAAAGAAAGGCAACAGTAACTCAAATATCCACTTGTTACAACATAAGTCTGCAAGACAGCCTTGAACACAGAACACATCAAACCTTGAGGCAGATGGGCTACAGCAGCTGAAGTGCCACTCCTGTCAGCTAAAAACAGGAAACTGAGGCTACAAGTCGCATAGGCTCACCGAAATTGGACAATAGAAGATTGGAACAAGTTGCCTGGTCAGATGAGTCTTGATTTCTGCTGCCACATTCAGATGGTAGGGTCAGAGTTTTGAGTCAACAACATGAAAGCATGGATCCATCCTGCCTTGTATCAACAGTTCAGGCTGGTGGTGGGGGTATAATGGTGTGGGGAATATTTTCTTGGCACTCTTTGAGGTCCTTTAATTGAGCATCGTTTCCACGGCACAGCCCACCTGAGTATTGTTGCTGACCATGTCCATCCATTTATGACCACAGTGTACCCATCTTCTGATGCTACTTCCAGCAGAAAAAACACCTTCTCATTAAGCTCTAATCATTACAGACTGGTTTCTTGAACATGAAAATAAGTTCACTGTACTGTAATGGCCTCCACAGTCACCAGATCTCAATCCAATAGAGCAACTTTGGGATGTGGTGGGACAGGAGCATCATGATGTGCAGCCGACAAATCTGCAGAAACTGTATGTAGCTTTCAAATATGGAGCAAACTCTCTGAGGAATGTGTCCAGAGCCTTGTTGAATCCATGCTACAAAGTATTAAGACAGTTTTGAAGGCAAAATTGGGTCCAACCTAGTACTAGCAGAGTGTACCTAATAAAGTTGCCGGTGAGTGTATATCTATAATATATATACTGTAGTATAAAGTTATTATCCTGCCAGATATGTATATAAGTGGATACAGTGATAATCAGAAATTGCAGTATTGCACATGATTGCAGTATTTACAATTAAGGGTGTGGGGAGCGTACCTGGCAGGTGAACCAGCCCTGAGCCGTGCACAGCCTGCTCTGCTGCTCTGCCCTGCGGTCAAAGTAAGCTCCGTTGTACTGGTCCTGCTTCAACATGTGTCCCAGACTCTCCAGCGTCTGTTCAAACTGTTCTCTGCTCTGAGCCTTCTCTATGCCCCTCGAGGCCTCGCTCACCTGCAAGTCAAAGGAGAGTCACAAGTATTCAAGACCACGCAATTGGTTGACAGCATGGTTTGTCACATCAAAAACTAACCCCAAGTTGTTTTAATCTTATTTTGGTGGGGGCCAAAGGTAAAATAGTTATAGATTAGCAGGAGACCAAAGAGCGATAGTCAGGAGACCCAAGAGATCAGACAGAGACCATAAAGAGAGGCCATAGAGATTCGAGAGTGAGTAAGCTTTATTTATACAGCGCCTTCACGGACCAAGGTCAAAAAAAGCTTCATAGTAAACATATATAGAATACAAATTTAAAATACAACTTAAAATGTGCGAACAAAAATGAAAACCAAGGCCATTGACAGATTAAAACCACCACAAGTAAATCAAGCAAAAGAATGCCCAATAAAATAGGTTTTGAGATTCCTTTCAAAGAAGTCAACAGACTCCAACTGTAAAGACAGTGGAACCACGGCTTGGGAACAGGAGCCTGGAACAATTGGTCTCCTCTGGTCTGGAAGAGAGAGACCAGAGAGAAAGTCCAAACAGAGGGACCAAAGAGAGACCAAAGAGAGACCAAGGACACCATAGAGAGAGACCAAAGAGAGAACAGAGGAAAAGACCAAAAAGAGACCAGAGAGAGAAGCAAGAGAAAAAAAAAAAGAGTCCTCTGAACTATTCCACGCCGTGATCAGAACCACAAAAGTTTTCTCGTGAGTGCAGTTATATGATGTTGTTGGAGTATACTTGAACATGAGACACATGAGACGCACACTGGGAAAGGTGAACAGTGAACCGTGTTAAAGTGATGGACATGCGTATTACAATCTTATCTCATATTCACTGAGATTGGATATGTACTGTAACTGTATGTGCCGTGAGGTGTGCTTGTAGTGACAGGTCAGAGGGACCAGGCCACTGTGAGTGAAGCACCTCCTTCATGTAGCTGCGGATCCGGCTTTGACAGTTGAACTTCATGTAGGACGACTTGGTCTTAAACCGAGCATCCAATCCTGGAACAACGACAGAAGAGGAATCAGTGATTATCGGCACCAGACGTCAAAAGGAGACGGTTGTAAAACACATTCTGCATTTTACCTTATTTGAAGCTGGGGTGCATAACTTTATTTTTACATGAATAAACCATGATTTGGGTCCCATCAGAGAGAGTCTTGTAAAAAGCTCTGTTTCCTCCTACCCTACCCTACCCTGGCCCTGGTTCTATCCAGGCCGAGCTCGTACTGAAGTGTTCTGAAAGTGACTGGCCAGAGTACTGCTGGAAAACATGGTTACCAATGAATTTCCCTGGATTCTGGTTTGTTGTGAGGTTTCTTGAGTAGAGTAGAGTAGGGCTGATGAAAATGAGACTAAAGTAAAATGCTGTATCGAACCACAACATGCAGCCTTCATCTCATCTTAGAAAATATTATCTATTGCGTTCTTGTAAGAAAGAGCCCTGTGAGTCACAATTTGATTCTTTAGGCTGAGTGAGGGTGGGCCTCTGGGTTTCACTTGTCCGTCTGAAAAAGCTCATTTAATAAGATCTTGTGTTATAAACAAACTGTTAGAGCCTGGAACAAGTTTATTAACTATCATTACATTATTACATTTTTCACGGTTTGAAAGTTAGGTACACCAGCTTTAAATGACTGATTTTTGCGTTTACATTTCGTCCAAAAGATGAGTAGAAAAGATGAATATCTCAACAGGGCTTCAGACATGGATCAATAATGCCATCTACTGGTGCTGGCTGGAACTACAACTTGGAACATACAGTAGGCTTGACTCCACGAGTGTGTGATATTATAATAATGCATTGGTTTGATATAGCGCTTTTTTGGACACTAAAAGATGCGTCAAATGTCATTATTCTTTCAGTCCATACGCCGTGGTGATAAACTATTACTGTAGCCACAGCTGCCCTAGGGCACACTATGTGCCATCAGCCCCTCTGACCACCTGCACTAACAATTACCGCATACACCAGACACTTCAATGAAGTGTCTTACACAACAGCTATTTGGCACTTTACAGCTGCAACTTCCCCACTGTGGCACCTGGTGTTCCCAGAAGGCTCCCATCACAGTAATTACCAGGCCTTGCCCTGCTTAGATACATATGACTGACAGGATCTGGCTTTTACATGCAGGTATGGCCACATGAGCCTAAATGAGCAGGGTGTTGCTGATTAACCCTGTAGACCTCAGTGATAACTAAACCACCTCGTCCTTAGCTGACAGCGAATCTATAACTTTCACAAAGTAAGTTTCTGTGGGGATTTTAGTGTCTCTTGTCATCATGAACTCATTTTATTTTGAAATCCACAATTGTGTGCCACAAACTCCGCTCGCTCCCGTCCCGCTCTAGCTCCACTCTGATCAGTAGCGCTCTGATTGGTCAGAACGCTCACATGTTCCTCTGGTCCTGTGGAAGTAGAACCACTGCATACATACTGCTCTAGACCAGGAGAACCAGAGCTGGCCAGCACAAGTCACTTCTGCTCATATGGACCTCCATGGAGCCAGCAGGCTAGGGTTGTCTATTATCAAAGAGAACTGAATACCAAGTATATGGGTTTTATAAATACTAGACATTAATTAGAGCAAGAATCAATACTAACAAGTGCTTCGTGCACTCCAAATTGTATTGAGCTCAAACACACGTGATGTTGCTTGTTAAAACTGTGGTGTGGTTACCGGTAAACCAGTGCTGGTCCTGCTCTCGGCTCTCCATGTCCGATGTATCGTCCAGGTTCCGGAGCATGTCCCGGAGCAGCTTGTGTCTCGGTGCAGAGTGTGGGGAGTGTTGCTCCTGCAGCAGGCTCCTCACAGCCTCCACCAGCTGCTGTCGATGGGCAGTGGTCAGCAGCCGCTCCAGGTCGCTCACCACTGGGACAGAACAATCACAACTGTGTTCAAATGTATTCAGACACAATGCATTCACTCTTAAAAGTTCAAGATTTCGTTATTGTCAAACAAAACTGGAATGCAACGTTGTAAAATCCTTAATTCAGTATATGGCTCGGGAGGTTAAACTAAACTTACAAGTAAAAAATACAACATTAGCATTAACACAGATTGTCAGTGATGTTGAAGTCCGGTAACAGCACAATCCTCTCCTCTCCCTTATATGTCATCATTCTGAATTCAGCTGTAGTCTATCAATTGCTTCCAATGGTTCCTATGAGTTTGTTATCATTTCATTTCTTCAGTTTGAACTGTTTGATTCTCTGATCTGCGTTCGTGAATCCACAACTTTGTAACAGACAAATACATTGAGTCGTTTGTGGTTTTGTTTATGACAAAAAGTGTATTTGAAAAGGCTGCATATTGATTTATTCATTAAATATTGAATTATTAAATTGCTATATATTTATTATTGAGCAGAATTTGTCAAGACAGCGTTCTTTATGGTTCCATTCTTGACTAATGGCAGATATTGGACTCAGGGGTACATACCGCCCTTCCAGCTCTGGTCCCGGGACAGCAGCACAAGCTCACAGTGTTCAGGCAGAGTCTCAAATGTGTCCTCGGTGAGAAGTGTCCCATCAGAGGACAAGCAAAGGCGCGCTGAGGCCACAGGCACCTGCACACACCACAGCTTCAGCAGACTATAGGGCTTTAGGGCTATAGGGACATATTTTAAAGGGGGACCGTTCCAAAGCCATAGTATGGTACTAGCGGTACTATTACTACTACTACTACTTCATTCATGTAAATTACATATACTTTAGACAACAGTATGTCATGAATACAAGTGGGTGGCCATGCTTCTAAGTACATACATTTATAATTCGGTGCGTTATATATTATTAAAAGTAAAGAGTGTGTATAATACATCTATAAAGTAAAATAGTGACCCCCACTAAGGCGCATGCGCAGTGTCTGCGTGTTGCATCATAAACATGGTATCCGGTCCCGGGCTTCTCAGAGGTGTCTGACCTGCAGATAGTGACAGGATCTCGCTATGAGCTCCTCCAGGCTGCGGGCTGCCACCCCGTACTTCCGGCTATCGCTCACGGAGCGAACTTTCACCGCTTTGCACCGTAACTCCCGGTCCCCCGGTCTGGGCACGGACATGTTGACAGCCTTCTTCTTCTTATGCATTTATAATGGCAGTTCTAAAACAACTTAATGCGTATTACCGCCACCTGTTGGAATGGAGTGAGGCCCCAGTAGTTTATATGTTCTAAATTATGTTTCTAAAGTCGTCCCCATGGTCGTCCCATTAATTATAACTATAATTATACGTACTAGAAGCATTAAAGTAGCAATATGTAAGATTTTCCTGTCAAGTCATCATTGAATGGCCCTAATATGTCAAAAGGCATTAATAAACCATGCTCATTTCGATGTCCCGCCCTCCATCATTTTACCAATCAGAAAGTCTGTGATCCAGGTTGCCAGAACTCACCTTGTAGGGCAAATGTCACTGGTAAAGTAACATGTCAGGCAGTACTAAAAACGGTCTTATAATGATTCTCAAATCATTAATGACAAAACAAGGAATAAAACGAGGATTTCTACTGCGCCCTTTGTGAAAAAGGTGTTGGTTATAGATTTGTTGTTGACAAAACTCTTGTCTATTCAGATATTATGGTTCGGCATATCTGGCAAAGAGCTGTACCCAATTCACATAGCACCAGCCCCTCACTGATCCTCCTGCAGGTGGTGAGTCCATAGGAGCCTTGATCTTTCAGCGGAGGCATCAGGCAAAGTGTCTTGCCCAAGGACACAATGACAGCAGACATCAGTGGGATGATGTCTGATGTGTCCTATGAATAAGACAACAATGCAATGAAGAGGAAGAGAGACACTCAAAACTGCCCATGATGATTTACTTTAATTTGATATAGACACATGGATATATCCCTCTGTCCTCCCACTGTTTTACATCTCTCTGGTCACTTAAATCTGTTTCAGGCAGACTTTTGAATACATATAAATAACCTCTTTAATGATTCATAAAGTAACATAATTTTGATCCAGAGCAGGAGGATTCCAAAGTGTTCTGACTTCTTATATCGGGTAAGCCACTGAGCATAACAGAGGAATACAAATATCTGGAACACTATATCTCTGCCAACACTGCCACATACCGCACCCCCATCTTCACTGCTGCCACATACTGTACCTCCATGTAACATTACTTCTGAGAAGTAACAGAGGGCACACAGAGATTAAAGCTGGGGTAGGTAAATATTGATTTTGTCCCAACAGAAAGAGTCTTGCAAAAATAAAATGTTCTTGCAGTCTCATTAGAAACTTATTATCTGTTATAAAGAGTCCTGGGAGTTAGTATTTGACTCTTTTAGGGCTGAAACTTAGGGCTCTTTTTTACTTGTATGAAAATATAGAACCAAACTGTTTGAGAGTCAGGAATGTGAAATAGTAAGTCACTATGTCAGAAAATACAATTTTATGACATAGTGGACTTCCTATTTATTTGGTTTGTAAGTTACAGGTATACAATATATACAATTTAGAGTAGTAAAGTTGTTTTGAGTAGCTTTCCAAAATACCGTTCATTTATCCCTTTACCGCTTTTAAATTTGGTGTATGTTATTTATACGCAATAATGATTCATACATGTTATGGACTGAAGAAAAAACCGCTTGAGCGTTACCTAAGCAACCGACGCCGTTCGGTGGTTGATACCAACTCGCAGGCTATTAGCTGTAGTTTATAAATACATTTACTTTAAATTTGTATTTATAGTTCAACCAAACAAGCAAGCACCACGTATTTATAACATATACACAAAGTATACACAGATAATACACCTGTTTGATAGATTCGCCCACACTCTTTGAAGATGATTTCTTCCGTCTCCTAACACATGGAACCCCCGTGTAGAAGTGGTACTGTCCGAATCCAACATGGCGGCGGCCTGACAGCTGAAGCCCGCGGGAGGACAGTGTTTGGTCTTTGGTTCTGCTGTGGATTCCACCTCGGACATGGTGAAAACGGAGGCCACGCTGACAGAGTGGACACGGCTATTTACCCAGGGCCGTGTGGTCCCTCCATGCCGCCACACAAGCCTCCTGTGCGGGGAGAAGCAAGGAGGCGAATCCTGCGGTTTGGAGTTGAGCCTGAGCCGAGTCACAGCCCCCCATGTGCCGCAGGTCAGAAGCACACACACACACACACACACACACGCCAACACCACGGAACACACCGACATCCATCCATCCATTTTCTACCCTTTAATCCATTTCTGGGTCAGGGGGGTGGCAGTCAGAGATGCCACCCAAGTCTCATAGCACCAGCCCCTCACTGATCCTCTGCAGGTGGTGAGTCCACAGGAGGACGGCTGCTCTGAGTGTGAGCATAGCCTTGATCTTTCAGTGGGGACACACCGACATGTCAAAGATTATTATCTTCATACAAAACAATCGTGTTGAATCAGGTCCAAATCATAACAGCAAAATAAGTCATCAGTTGATCTAAAAGTGGTTGTGTGAGATGACATAAAATAATCTGAGATTAACAGACAATATATTCTTTTATAGCCCTAAATCACAACAATAGATATCTCAGGGGACTTAACAAAACGTCGAAATCACCAACACAAAGAATCAAACAGTTAACACAAAGAATAGAGAATACATAGGTATTGGTCCATAGGGGAGAGTTGACCAATGTCCATAAATGTTGAATTTTGAGTGTCCTGGATCATCACCACAGTCCTTTTTGTTAGACCCACTAACAGTCAAACAAACCCACCTGCATTGGCAAGGGAAAACTCTAAAACCCAGTTGGAAAAAAGAGAGAAACCTCAGGGAGAACCACATTGAGAGAGGGATCTGCTCCCACGGACGGACGGACGGGCTATAGATCCAGGCTATAAAACGAGAACCAAGGCCATGCAGCGCAGGATTTAGGTTGTAGAACAAGGACAGATGCAGTGCAGGACTGGAGCAGCTCCCAGGTGAGGAGGGGGTGCAGCCCACGAACTTGTTCTTCTGATATAAAAGTTTGATTTTTTACAACAGAGATATTGCAATTTTGCATAAACCCTAATCTTTTTAAACTACTCCACGTTATCTTTAGTTATAAACTCCAAGCCCCAGTGACCCAAAATGTCTGCCCATTCAGATCAATGACTGGTGCTCAATGTAGAGCTGGGCGATATGGCTGAAAATGATATCACAATATAAGTGATTCATATCGATCGATATCAATAATTATTGATTGTTTATTTTTTATTTTTTATTTCTTTTAACCTAAATAAATATATTTCTTGTGTCGGCTAACACGTTACCAATCCTTGTTTATAGTCACGGGGGAATGAGAACTCGGGCTGGAGGATATGTTCACAAGCAAAGTGTCCCCCATTGTCGGTCCTGGTTTAATCCCAAGCCTTGATGATCCAAGACTGCGCCCTATTCAAATGAATGGCTTGTGCTCAGTAGCGCATGGGACATACAGGAGGACCGAAAGATTAACAGAACTCGTATATATTCGGGCCTCGTCTGGTCCTCCCGGTTCTGCGCAGTGGACGAGCTCCTGTGATGCGTTGCGCCAAAAACGTGTGTGGCTCTCATACATGTGCACAGAGGGGCTCGGCCACGCTTTGACCAATCAGAGCTGCTGATCAGAGCAGCGGGAGAGCGGAGTCAGAGCGGGAAGGAAAGGAGCAGAGTTTGTGGCAGTAAAGTGTGGATTTAAAGAAAACCGATGGATTTAAGAAGAAAACAAATTCAGGATGACAAGGGACACTAAAATCCCCACAAAATCCGACCTTTATGAAAGCTGTAGGCTCTCTGTCAGCTGAGGTTGAGTCGGTTTAGTTTACATGGAGTTCTATGGGACTTTTTCCTGGGTATCCCATGAGAATTTAGTTTGCAGTACCACGGGCGCCCCCTGTGCCCATAGGTGGGACAGCTATATACTAGTAATACCCTACCCCAGTGGTTCTCAAACTTTTTACACCAAGTACCATCTCAGAAAATTCTTGCCTCTCCAAGTACCACCACAAATGACCAAAACTATACAGTAGCGTAGTAAGTATTCATCAAAACAAGGCAGAGGTTTCATTCCTAAACAAGTATATTTAATATTGTCAGCCATTGTAAGATTTTACAGTTTCAACAGTAAGTAAGTAAGTAAAAGATAAATAAAAAAACTACTTAAATACTGATTCATTTGAAATGTTCAATTTATTACGAACTGCAAAGCCTTGACTTACCACTGTGAATGATATTCTGGAGTGGGATGGTCTTGGTCTGCTGCCCTCTTACATCTGCCTTTTACTCACACAGAGAGATGTTGGTTCATTTGGTTTGGATCAAATGATCTTTTGTTGCTCTCTGTTCCTTTTGCACAGAACTGGGAAAAAAGCTTTTGTATAAGCTGCTACTTCTACATGGAATGTGTTGCAAAAAGACTGGAAATGATCAGAACTTATTTCATTGAATGCTTTTAGAGCCCGATTGAGAGACTGAGACATCCTCATTGAAATGTAACTGTTTTTATAATCCGTAATTTTACGAAATTTTACGAAATTGTATGTGACTGTTTTATAATCTGTAATTGTATGTAATTCTTTTGTAGAACTCATGAAGTTGCAGTTGGGCATTGATTCTGATTCCTTTACAGTTTGGCAAAGTTCTGAGGGCCACATGGAAACATGAGTCAAGTCGTTTGGCCGGACTTTGGTTTTCTCAATAACCCATGTGTCACACTGACCTTGTTTGACGTCCATCTAGGACAGCTGTCTCCATCCTATGGTTCAAATATTTCTGACCACTTGAACAGTGTTGGAAGGTGTCTTGTTGGAGAGTAAAATGTTTCGATGAGGTCGTACGGATTTCAGAAGAGGTCTTAATTCTGTACGTGTGTCAGCTTTGACACCAGCTCTATGGTCAGTTTATTGTCTTCAGAGAGCCTCGTCACTGGACCTTCATGACATGGCTCGACCGTATGATAAAGACTGGGATGTCCATGTCTTCTTGATACAACTTGAGGTTTTGTGGACATTTAAAATGATTCTACATTTTTGATCTCGACTCCATAATGAGGGACAAAATGAACATAATTCTGATACCTTGTGCTGTCCACAGGGGGCGCCAGAGGGTCCGGATGTGGCCTACGAGCTCCGTGCCTCGCTGTACGATAGTCTGCAGCAGCAGTTCTTTGGCCAAACCTGGAAGAGCTGTCCCCAGAGGCTGAAGAATGGGAAGATCTGCTTCAACCAGGTAAAGGGGACGAATGGTACTAATGGTGCTTTCAGACCGCAAACGCTCAAACGCTGAAGCCTCGCTCACGAGACACGCATTCTCTAGTTTTCAGACGCACGGGACTTCACACCAGAACGTCATGACCAGCGCCGGAAGTGGCAGAAGTAGCCGGCCGGCTCTGATGCTAACAGCGTTATGCTAGCGGCTTGTCGTGTAAAGATCTTCTCCAATAATGCAGCTTTGCAGCGTGTCTGTGTTCAGAGACCTTCCACGGACTTTATATAACAGTAGTATGTGTTCACGGAGGTGCGCAATACATTTATTTTATTATTAAACGGTACTTTCACGGGAGCATGACAACGCATACAGTATGTTCACAAGCACTATGTCCCCCAATGTCAACCCTGGTTTTAAATCGTGGTGTAGTTCAGTCTGCTCGCTCAGACTACTAATGTCCCCGTGACCACTTTGCGGCTCTCTGATTGGTCGCTGCATGAACGTCCCGAGGAAAGGTTGAGCAAAGTTTATCTCCTGTGGGCGTCGATTTTCCGCTCCTGCTCCTCCCCTTCGACTTTCCCGTGCAGTCCGTGCGTCTCTACTGAGCAGTCCGTTCGTGCGTCCCGAGATGTTCGTGCGTTTTGACGCTCGAACGCTCGTCACCATAGACTTTGCATTGAAAGCCGACGCAACGCATGATCCTGTCTGAACGCACCATAAGTGTTAATATGTGTTTAAGTAAATGAGTAACTACCATACACTGTAATTACAGATGGCAGAGGGAGGGGCGCGGGCCAGTGGGAGGGGCAGAGAGAGTGGGAGAGGGGTTAGCGGTCTGGTTGACGCAAGCAGCGACACATGAAAATAAGAGAACCTGAGACTCAGAGAAGGTTTTTTTTTATCCTACAGTGGGAAAATGTCAGTGTTGCAGCACTCTACAGGAGAGCAGTAAGGGCGCACAACATAGTCAGAACAGGAGCTGGAAATGCTTCATAATGGGGGTGTGTGTGTGTGAACCTTTCAACATTTCGCCACATTTCAGGCTTCAAACATAAAGATATAAAAATGTAATTTTTTGTCATGAATCAACAACAAGTGGGACACAATCGTGAAGTGGAACAAAATTTATTGGATAATTTAAACTTTTTTAACAAATAAAAAACTGAAAAGTGGGGCGTGCAATATTATTCGGCCCCTTTGCTTTCAGTGCAGCAAACTCACTCCAGAAGTTCAGTGAGGATCTTTGAATGTTCCAATGTTGTCCTAAATGACTGATGATGATAAATAGAATGCACCTGTGTGTAATCAAGTCTCCGTATAAATGCACCTGCTCTTTGATAGTCTCAGGGTTCTGTTTAAAGCGCAGAGAGAACCATGAAGACAAAGGAACACACCAGGCAGGTCCGAGATACTGTTGTGGAGAAGTTTAAAGCCGGATTTGGATACAAAAAGATTTCCCAAGCTTTAAACATCTCAAGGAGCACTGTGCAAGCAATTATATTGAAATGGAAGGAGTATCAGACCACTGCAAATCTACCAAGACCCGGCCGTCCCTCCAAACTTTCATCTCAAACAAGGAGAAGACTGATCAGAGATGTAGCCAAGAGGCCCATGATCACTCTGGATGAACTGCAGATAACTACAGCTGAGGTGGGAGAGTCTGTCCATAGGACAACAATCAGTCCTGCACTGCACAAATCTGGCCTTTATGGGAGAGTGGCAAGAAGAAAGCCATTTCTCAAAGATATCCATAAAAAGTCTCTTTTAAAGTTTGCCACAAGCCACCTGGGAGACACACCAAACATGTGGAAGAAGGTGCTCTAGTCAGATGAAACCAAAATCGAACTTTTTGGCCACAATGCAAAACGATATGTTTGGCGTAAAAGCAACACAGCTCATCACCCTGAACACACCATCCCCACTGTCAAACATGGTGGTGGCAGCATCATGGTTTGGGCCTGCTTTTCTTCAGCAGGGACAGGGAAGATGGCTAAAATTGATGGGAAGATGGATGGAGCCAAATACAGGACCATTCTGGAAGAAAACCTGTTGGAGTCTGCAAAAGACCTGAGACTGGGACGGAGATTTATCTTCCAACAGGACAATGATCCAAAACATAAAGCCAAATCTACAATGGAATGGTTCACAAATAGACGTATCCAGGTGTTAGAATGGCCAAGTCAAAGTCCAGACCTGAATCCAATCAAGAATCTGTGGAAAGAGCTGAAGACTGCTGTTCACAAACGCTCTCCATCCAACCTCACTGAGCTCTTGCTGTTTTGCAAGGAAGAATGGGCAAGAATTCCAGTCTCTCGATGTGTCAAACTGATAGAGACATACCCCAAGCGACTTGCAGCTGTAATTGCAGCAAAAGGTGGCGCTACAAAGTATTAGCGCAGGGGGCCGAATAATATTGCACGCCCCACTTTTCAGTTTTTTATTTGTTAAAAAAGTTTAAATTATCCAATAAATTTCGTTCCACTTCACGATTGTGTCCCACTTGTTGATTCATGTCAAAAAATTACATTTTTATATCTTTATGTTTGAAGCCTGAAATGTGGCGAAATGTTGAAAGGTTCAAGGGGGCCGAATACTTTCGCAAGGCACTGTATAGTATCAGAAATGTTATTGTGCAACCTTAAGATAGTAGTAATTATTACAAATCACTCTTTTGACCTGAGGCCTGCTCTGTCCCTTTCCTCTTTGTGATCAGTCATATCTTTTCTCAGAATCCCTGTAAGAACAGAGAGAATGATGTTCTCTTTGATGATGAAATGTGTGGTTACATGTTGAGACGGAGGGAGCTTTGTGATCCATGTTGGATTTGTACAAAAGTGCAGCTTTAGGCCACGGCTCATAATGTTGACTCAGCCCCCTGCTGAGACGCGGCCCCAGTGCTCGAGCTGAAGACCATGTCCACGGACCCTGTGTTTGGAACCCTACGTTCTTCAGCACATTCTGGATTTGTGCTCTGTTTTTGCTTTCACGTTGTCGAAGGCCATGAGCGTTGGAGAGAGAGTTGCCATGGAGACCTGGAACAACACTGTACAGCATCCATCCAAGTGTCAAATTCTACCGGAGAATTCACATGAACACAGGACTGGACTTTGAATGATATGTACTTTGATATTACAAATCTTAATAATAAATATGATTATTATTACATAATGTGGGGGAAAATTTGTAAAATCTTTAAGTATTTTGGCAACCTGATCTTGTCAGAGCTGTGATACTAAGCAGTACAGGGCCTGGTTACTACTGTGATGGGAGACCTCTGGAAACACCTTGTGCCACAGTGGGGAGGCTGTAAAGTGCCAAACTGTGGTTGTGTCCTTAGGCAAGACACTTCACCCACATTGGCTAGAATGAGTCTGGTATGTGTGTCCATATTTTGGCGGTGGTCGGAGGGGCCGATGGCACAGACTTTACTTCTGTCAGTCTGCCCCAGGGCACTGTGTAATGTAAGTGAATGAATAATAAAAAGTGCCATGTAAGAGCAAAATATATTCTTATGTTTTGGATTTCTTTCACTTCACGATAATCCCATTTCTTTCTCCTCATCTCAGAGTGATCTGACGGATGGTTTGGACCGTGCTCTGGAGAGTTACATAAGTCTGTAAAGAGAGGGAGCGAGCAGTCATTTTGTCACCAGCTCCCCACGTTTGATCCCACGTCCCTCTCTGTTCACGGCCTCAATTTTCTGTAAACCCGCTCCCAAACACACTGGCCTCGTCCAATCCGATTACCCGTCAGGGCTAACGACATCACCAGTGGTGCCTGCGAGCACAGGGGCGCCCTTATTGGATTCCGCCGGCTGTTTATGAGTGCTAAATTGCTGTTTGATATCCAAATAATGTCAGCAAGGGGCATGGGGCTTTGTGCGGCACGACGGCCATGATGGATCGCTTTTAATATGTGCGTGCAAAGATTCAGCGTGATTAAAGGGGGAGCAGAGCAGGCACATTTATTTCAGGGCTAAGTGTTGCTGTGTTGTTGGTTTGTGTCTGTACACAAGAGAAAAAGAGACTCCTCTTGCTCTGCAGAGAACTGAGCTGAAAGAACCGGGGCTTCAGTAACTCGTTGTGATATATTCAATATTTTGTGTTATGATATCATGAATTCAATAATATGCAATGTCTTGTTTAATCAGTTTTATAAACATATATGCCGTATTTTTGTATATGAAACTGCAATGATCCTCTTAAAGGACAGATATAGAAGTAGAATATAGTCTGTGGTTATCCCCCAACATCTCCTTAGTTTTCTCTGTGGTGAGAAAACCGCGGTTAGGAGGTGGTTCTGCTGACACCAGTCCGTAAAGTCCTGTTCTCTGGTGTCCCATGACATCACCGCTGTCTTTCAGAGCCTTAACACTAGAACTCCTAGAGCAGTCAATGTGACGGCTTTTAGTTTGTTTAGTGTGATTTCCCGAGTGTGTGTACATTTTTGCCCTTTGTCACATTTTCTGTTTCTATATGTAGTTTATTTATATAATATATTTTTCTTTTGATATAACATTTTATGGCAGCTGCAGATGGTGCTGGTCCTGGACTGGTCTTGCACTGGTTCTGATTCTTGGCCGAGTCAGTTTGGTTTGCCAGTATTAGTTACCATAGCAACACACGCTCAGATCTCAGTAGTTGGCATTTAGCCCGTTTTTTTGCTGTATTTCAGTTAGCACTTGAGTAAAGGTAAACCCCTTAGTGAGTAAATTACTTACAAATGACTTACTTTTGTAACATCTGGTGTAAAACTAAACATTTTTGAGGGAAACTCCATTGGTTTAATTGGAGTAGTCAAAATGACTGCTCTGGGAGTGTTGAAATGAACTATTGGTGCTCTTTTCCCCAGAGCAATAGTTTGGGAAACCATCTGTCTGGTTTGATAACATTCACATGTTTTAACATCCAATAATGTAACAAAATATATCTCCCATCTGCACTTGATAAGTGGAAAATACTTACTCTATTCTTCACAGTAATATGGAAATCATGGATTTATGATCACAGGCCAAAACAGGAAGTGTGTTTTAGGAATAGTTCAATTCTCTGTTTTATGGGGCAACAGATATTAAATTCAGAAATAAATACATCTTTTAAACACAGTTTTATTCCCATGAACTAATTTATTGTTTTATATTGCCACGCGGTACCAGTCAGATCTGTGGAGACACTGGTGCAGCTGTTTGCTTTGGGAAGTGGGGCTTATTACTGTGAGAATATTATATTATGTTTTTTTTGTTTTTTTGTGATATGTTTGTCTGATCCTGGACCATGAGTCTGTAACAAAAGTTTGATGATGATTGTTGGGTTCAAACAGTGAAGCCGTGTAGTTGACGCTCTCAACATGATCCATAGTGTGTAAAGTGAGTGAATAAATCCATGGGACAGTAAAATGCATTCACAAACAAAAACACACATACTGGACAAAAATAAAATGACTTAAAGGACGAGGAGAGAGTATAGCGAGAGTGAGGTCAAAAAACTGTGTGGCTCCACTCCACACTCAACGCTTTCCCTGGCACACCTGCGCCTTAACTAGCCTGTGCCAGGAGTGAGAAAAAATGCAAAATATATGTTAAATCAAAATGAATCAATGATTAACTTTAGCAATAATGACTAATAAAACAGTTAACTTAATTAGATGCAAAATATCCAAATAAAATCAATTGCCAAATAATCGTAATTCTTATTTAATCACAAAAATAACGTATTTCAATTAAATAATGATACAAACAAAATAGTAATGTATCAAAAAAATAGGAAAACAATTAAACCTCTATTTAGGCTCCAACAATGATGATGATGATTGTCTAAGTAAAAGCTTTGAATAGCCACACCTCTTCAAAAAAATATGAATCAACATTGGGCAAACTGGTTGTTGAAGCCCCTTTTTGGAAATTATAGATTGAATATTAGCTCAGATCACTGCTGTTTATTGCTCAGCCCATGCATTTCCTCAACTGACCTGCAGAGGGGAGTGTTGCTCTGCAGATAAGAGGCTCATGTGGGACATCACCGTTTAAGTTTTATGTGATGATTATTGTGGAAAAAACACCACGATTTAACGATTATCCTCTGTTATCATCATATCACCAGGCATTCAAACCTACATTACATACACATGCTTTACTACAGAAAAGTCACTAATCTATGAGATATGAGCATGTTTACATTTGTTTCATGAAAGAAGGCCACAATGTCACTGGCGACATGAGAATCAGTGTGAGGAATAAGTTTAATCTGTTCAATCATATTCAAGTCCATTGAAATACACTGGGATCAAGATAACTGTGGCTTGATCTTCAGTTTTAACATGAGATCATGAGTACAGGGATGGCTGCCTTCTCAGGCCCCGACTCCACCGGACGCGTAAAACGGGCTACGGATCCGTCCAAACGTGTCCGTTTCATCTCCGTCTCCGTTTCATCTCCGTCTCCATTATCTCCATGAGAGTGAATGGAAGTGGCTCCACTTCCTCCAACATGCGTCCGTCCGCTTTCCATTGAAAATACAATGGAAAATATATTTACCACATTATTAAACATGTATTGATATATGCTGTGGTCCTGTTTATAAGTGTTTGTTAATGACAATGATTATTATGAATTGAAATAATTGTTTCCTGATTTTAAATCTACCATTTATTTTTTGCGTGATGTTAAATGGCTAATCTTTACATACACCTCGCTCTTTTTCCTCTCGCTCTGTCCCCTCTACCTCCGAGGCACTCTCTGCTCACCGCCGCGCGCTCCCACACACACACAGACACACACACACACACAGCCCACAAAGCTGCACTTTGTGAGACAGATCTCACAACACTGGATATGTTGGAGTTCTTTTCTCTTTTCTCTCTCCCCTTTTTCCAATTGCTTTCAATAAGTTTTGCCTCATCCATCGCGGCGTCCTCGATGCTTCAATATGCCGTGCTTTGCATTGTTCATAGCCACAACTCATGCACATCACACACTGCTTCTTCTATTTAATACAATTCCTCACAGGGTGCTGTTAAACGCACAACCAGAGCTGCTGCAGCCGGTTTGGCCACTATTCCGTTTTACGGACGTCTGACGGGCAGCAGCCAATGCGCATCAACGGAGACGCGCCCGGTGGAGTCCAGGCCTCAGACTGGAGTGAGAGAAATGGACTGTTTTTCAATGCGTCCAAGACCAAGGAGATGATCATCAACTTCCACAGGATCCTTTCCCATTAACAGATCACAGTAAATGGACAGGACATTGCCATATCTGGCTTATCAGGAAATGTGTCACTGTGATGGGGAGAAGTGTGGACTCTGTGGGAGCTGTGCTGAAGAGAAGGATGAGGGCTCTAATGCAGGGCATCGTGGGTAACTCCAGATACCCTCTGCATGACACTATGGCCGCTCAGAGGAGTAATCAAAGAAACAGGCTCCTATCACTACGCTGCCGAACGGAACGTTTCAAGAGATTCTTTGTTCCTTCGTCTGTCAGACTGTACACCAAACCTGGATGAGTCTTCTGCTGCTTGACACCTGAATTTCTCCTAGTATCTATCTATCTAAAATTGTGCCGTATTGTTTCTAAAGGGAAAGTGAATAAATGAAGGGTGATTGGCTGTAAAGGGGCGTTCACACCGGACTTAACTTCGGCGTCAAAAGCGTCAGGTTTGCATTGAAAGTGAATGGTGAAGCGCGTCAGGTGAAGCCGAGGGGCCCGGCGTCACTTGACGCGCGTCAAAAGCTTCAAGAGTCGCGCGTAATACGTGCTCACTTGAAGCTTTTGACGCGCGAAACGCTCGCGTATCAAAACAATCCCTCTGAAGCCGAAGCTGAGCAAAGCTGAGCTTTTGAAGCTTTGACGCGGGCTTCAACCAGTCAGGAGACGAGGAGCAGCAGCAGAAGAGGGTCTGTCTCTGTCATGGAGAGAAGTCATGTATCTGCTGCTGCTGTTTTAATGTCATTATTGTTATTAGTAATATTATTTGTATGAGTAGTAACGTTCTGAGTAACAAAATCATTGTACACATGCTGTGTAGTAAACGTAGTTTATTTAATATAAGAACAGGCTGACGATGAGTCTGGCTCAGAGCAAGGCAGCTCCGGGCGGGCGAGAGCCGGGGAGAGGCAAGCGAGAGCCGGGGAGAGGCGGGCGAGAGCCGGGGATAGGCGAGCGAGAGCCGGGGAGAGGCGAGCGAGAGCCGGGGAGAGGCGAGCGAGAGCCGGGGAGAGGCGAGCGAGAGCCGGGGAGAGGCGAGCGAGAGCCGGGGAGAGGCGGGGAGAGGCGAGCGTGAGCCGGGGAGAGGCAGGGAGAGGCGGGGAGAGGCGAGCGAGAGCCGGGGAGAGGCAGGGAGAGGCGAGCGAGAGCCGGGGAGAGGCAGGGAGAGGCGAGCTAGAGCCGGGGAGAGGCAGGGAGAGGCGAGCTCCGGGGTTTGAGAACTCAGACTGGGCGAGTGACATGCGGAAGTACCGCTGAAAGCGAAACTCCTCCGTACGCAGCTCCTGGAGTAAATGACGGAACTCTGCAAACACTGCAGCCTCTCAAGTCTGTGGTGAACCCAGAACATGTTTTGTTTAAGCCCTACAACAACGTTATTTTGCTTTATATAACAAATAAATGCTCGCTGCTCATTGAAAAATC